GGGCCTATTTATCACATACCAGCGATCATGGATCAATTTGAATACCTCAAAATACTTGAAGAGGTCATGTTGCCTTATGCCGAAGAGGAAATGCCCTTGAAATGGGTGTTTCAATAAGATAACGACCCCAAACACACCAGTAAACAAGCAACATCTTGGTTCCAGTCCAAGAAGATTGACTTTATGGAGTGGTCAGCCCAATCCTTGGACCTTAATCCAATAGAAAACTTGTGGGGTGACATCAAAAATGCTGTTTCTGAGGCAAAACCAAGAAATGTAGTCCAATCATCCTGGGCTGGAATACCTGTTCACAGGTGCCAGAAGTTGGTCGACTCCATACAACACAGATGTGCAGCATTTCTCAGAAACAGTGGTTATACAATGAAATATTAGTTCAATGATTCAAAGGAAAGCAAAATCTTAAAACATTTTTCAGTTCATGCAGTGAATCCTTTGAGTTTGTAAAGAAGAATGTGGACACTGCTATTTTTTTGAACAGCCTAATGTTCCCTTTCCTTCACTTTCTGTATTGGAATAACACAAATGTGATGAATTTCTCTTCTTGTTTTGATTTGGAATAGACTTTTTAGTGTTCCTGATGCATTTGCATGTATGGAAATAAAAACTATTATAAGGATTTTCAGCTTTATTCACTTTTTTAGACGCACTGCTATTATTCTGAACAGAACTGTATATAGCACAGTAGTAAACTATTATTTTTAATCACAACAAATCTATACAACAATACATAGTATATCCACCACAAACCTAGTGAAGTATGGATTGCTGACTTGAGAGCACTACTACTTGAATGCAAACCATGACATTGCAAGAGCACAGCTCCAACCCCTAACTCTGACTCATCTACCTCCACTACAAAGGGCAGCATGGGATAGGGCTGTTTGAGGATTGGAGATTGGAGCGTCTTTAATTCTTGAAAGGCTGAGTGGGCTTCCTCCCTACAACTGACACAAAGCATACTGGTTTGCATACTACTACTGTGGACAAGAATGCACAGCCCTCGTAAAGATTGTGATACAGGAATCTTTGTAGAGAGTTTTCTTTGAC